CTGTAGCAGGTATGGTCTAAGGGCCTTGCTCAAGGGCACCTCAGTGGTGGTAATGAGGAAGGATTTGTGTTGCTGCTCTGGGGATTAAATGGCAACCTTGCAGTCAGCTAATGCAGTACCTCAAAATGTACTTGATGCCTTTTTTATGTGTATTTGTTGGATGTATGTGTACGACATGTGTGTATGAGGGTAGAGACTTAAGGTGTCTGCACTTACCTAGTCCTTGATTCTTGAACTGTTGGAAGGGGAAGGCACTACTGCAGGAGGGTTTTCAAACACCTCCTTCCAAACCTTAAATCAATTATGCAGCACGCATTCAAGTGTCTACAAATTTTCCGCTCTCATGAGTTCCTAAATACTGAGCTCAGTTCCTAAATATTGTTTCAGTGCCCCTTTTCTTTGATAATACTTTCAATTGATTTTTTTTCTCTCAAAACACAAATCCTTGAACTTAATGATTTCTTCCCGCTGTAAAACTACATTTCACACTTGCCTGCTTTATACTTAAGAATTCATCCACCTTTTTTTTCTCCTAACTTTCTGAAGAACACAGGGACATCGATCTCTTTGGCCTGGAACAAAGGAGAAAGAGAGCAAGTCATGTTTAATTAATTCAAAGCTTCTCCAGGCATCAACATGCATTCACTAGTTATTCTTTTGATGCATTTTAAAGGCTGTATTTCAGAGCATGCAATTAAAGGTGAACCCTGCTTCAGGGAAAATGACAGTTTTTGTCAGCTCAATTAAAATTTGGAAGCTGTCTTGGAAGGGAAGAGAATCAAGGTGCATGTGGCTGAGCCATGTGAGTTACAGTGTGTGTGTGTGTGTGTATGTGTGTGCATGTGTGTGCTCACTACAAACAAGATATTACTGTAAAGAATCTGAAGACTTCTGAACTCATGTTGGAATGATAACAGAAACTGTCATACTTTTCAGGTCAACATTTGATGTCACTAATTTGATCTACGCTCAGTGCATCTTTTTGAATGTGACACTTTTCAGAATCTGTGCTATTAATCTAACTATACAGGTCTATACCCCTATATGTGTGTTTGTTAAAGATTATATAAACTAAAAGCAAATCCTACAAGTTCTAAGGTGCTTTACTTAAGTATGAGCTTTTAGTCTCTGTTTTTATGCACATACATACTACACACTATACGGTGTGAGAGTGATTAGCTATGGTGACTGGTGCTGCTGTATTGAGTGTACAGATGGACACAATGAGGAAATTAAAAACTTTATATGACACCTTTCAAGCATAAGGCACACTAGTGTCTCATACCCAAAAGATGGATTTAGGGGGCTTAATGGTGGTCGAGTGGTTTAAGGCCCGTACTGTATATCTGCACGCCAGGATGTCCTTGTATAGACCCTTTTTCACTTACAGACATTTTGACTTGTCAAAGCATGAAAAGCTCAGGTGTAAATATTAACATTAACAATAGCTCCATTCCATTAGGAGTCCCAGTAAGCCATGTCAGTGATTGAGCATGCACAAGCTCTGGAACTGCCTCACCTAAATGGAATGCAGCCATCATTAATGTTGTTCATTTCACCTGTGTTTTTCCTGCTTTGACAAGTCAAAATGCCTGCTGTGAAATGGGTCTATTGAATCCAGCAGGGGGGCCTTTGTTGCATGTCATCCCTCTCTATCCCACATTTAGGAAACTTATTTTGGGTGGAGTGTATTAGCTGTCAGAGGAAGGTTACCCAAGAACATGTTCTCACCTATTTAAAATTAAGGAATCACATGTTATTACTTACTAAACTTATTTGGTTCCTGACACACTCACAGCATCAGTTGGATATTCCCATTTTACTGCCCATGTAGTAAAATGTGCACAGACCATAGATGGTTGTATAAGAAATCTGCAAGTGTAAAATCCCAGACATTTTATCTATATATGTACATTTGTGCTCAAATCCAGCTGAACGCCCTAAATCAGCTTTTTGACACGCCCTGTTCTCTTCCTGTTATTCATCTTCTAGCTCTGATAAGTGAGTTTATTTTGTCTTCATTCCAACAGAGACCTAAATCACCTCTTTCTTTTACCTTTCATCAACTTTACCTCCATGTCCCCCAGCAGAAAGTACTGTACGTATGATCTCAATCTCACTTCATCTCGCTTTCTTTCTTTCTTTCCTTCTTTGTTTCTCACTTTCCCCCTCTTATCTCTCTCATGCTCACTGTCCCAGACCACTTGACAAACTGTATTTTCGTGCCCCGACCTTGGATAAAGTGGATATTAATGAGCATAACATCCTGGGTAGGAGCAAGGGCGAACGAGTACATACAAGGACAGTGTAATTCAGAGGGCAACTATGGCAGAGAGGGGAGCGGGTTCTAACAGAGATTTGTAAGACTACTTTTGTTCTTTTTCTGGAAGTGTGTTATGAATGTTGACAGTCTGGAAACAAACCGTGAGTGTGCGAGAGCTGCTGATGAGTCAGCAGGTGTTAAAATAACAAGGGAAAGGTTGTTTTTCCCACCAATAGTCGCACGTTTCTTCAAATGAGGTATGACATTTCTTCATTTGTTTGCTGCTACATAGAATTAATTACAGTTGCTAATCAAACAATGGGCCCTTTTCTCATCTGTCCCAGTGAGATAAACAACCAGCTGTTTGTGCTACAAACACAAACAACAGCACTGAGGCTAGCGCCACTTGTAGCAACAGTCGATGTAATATAGAGAAAGCCGTTGATAAAGCACACTTAGTGATGAACCTCAAGCTTTACGTCATTACTGTCCTCTTCACCATCGCACCAAAATTGCCCCTGCTAGGTTCAGAGTGGCAGTCAACTCTGCCCCGGCCTTTTTTCATAACAATGAATCGAGTGTGTGTGTGATTCACTGGAAGCAGCTTGTTTGTGATTGTGATTAGTGTGTAGTGCATGCTAGAGAAACCGTGTTTTGTTAGGAGGAATAAGGTTCTTTATTAACGTTCTTTTCATAATAAATGGGTTTTTGGTTGCAGAGATGGATGTTTATGATATATCTGAGATGGTAATGTTACAACATGCAGCATTGAATGAGAGCCCTACTCATAAAGCAGAAAATGTCAGCCTCATCCGTGGTGTTCTTTTGCTGTGTTTCTTATCTCAACCTCTTCATGAGTCATAAATAAAAATGCCTTTTATAAGCTTATTAAAAGCCTTTTGACATTGTTGACGGTTGCAGCACTTCATAAACCTTACACCTTAAGTCAGCATGTTTTTACACTTGTAGATTCAGTCATACAGAATGTTCCAGCATTTATTCATAAATTCAACAAATTAAAAAGACGTGTTAAGTGCATTGAAGTCACTGATTTATATGCAGTTTATTTTATGAATTAAAAGGACCACTTTGCGTCAAACAGTGTCACGGTCTATTAGTCAATGAAGTATATTTTATTTCAGTGCTGCAACTAAGTTATTTTAATTATCAATTAACCTGTTGATTCTTTTTTAATTAATTGGTTAGTCTATATATATATAATGTCAGAAAACAGCACAAAAATAAATTAATTCTCATTACAACATCCCAGTGACTAATCTTTAATTTTTTTTTTTATCCCACCAACAGTCCTTATTTAAAAAAAAAAAATAAAGATTATGATTTAGAACACAAAAATCTTCAATTTATAATGGTATTAAACATAGAAAACCGAAACCAAATTACAAAAGCAAGAAATTCATAATCAAAACTATACATTTATTTCAAAATCATCATGTCACCAGCACCTGGCAATCTTGTATAATATGAGATGCCACCATAATCACTCTGAAGGTTTTGGGATGTGAATCAGTTGCCTTCTGCTATATTACGATTCCAAAATAACATGTATTTATCTGACAAAACCTGTTTTGAATATGGCCTATAATCTCTCTATTAGCAGTAAAAGCAATAATAATATCAGTCACGTCTAAGGACATTCTCATGCCCTGTATCCCACTGTTCAGGATTAGAAAGGCATTGAGTCAGGGATTAGCGGAGGGAAGAATAAAGGCTTCCTTAGACAACAGAGGAGGGAGGCAGGGGCCAATGGATCAAGACCCTCTGAGTACTTGCATGCACACACAAACACAGTCTTTCATGCAGATTCAGACGCTCATCTTAAAGCTACTTAAGAGGTGACATTCCGTAAACAGTTTTCCAAGAACTATCCAGTTGAAGCAGCAGCAGTTGAAGGTGACAGAATTTCCCCTCTGACCTCCAGGCGACCGTATGCAGTCTTAACTCGGTGTGTGACTCGGAGGAATTTCTCTTTCTCTCTTATACTGCGGCAGTTGTCTGCATCCTTGCATGTCATGTGTTATAATCAGATAAACAGTGTGTATCCAGTGCATTGCAGTAAAGGTTGAAACAAAGCAACAATTTGGGTGTCGGATCGGGTTGGGGTCTCAAATTTGGAGGTGCTATTCAGATTCATTGAGATTGGGTTCTTGGGGTCCCAGTTCCAGGTAGCGCTCTCTGTATCATATCTCTAA